ATGTGTTTTGACTCCTCACAGGAAGCTAAACCAAAAAAAAAAAAAAAAAAAAAAAACAGCAATGAGAAAAGCACTGCAAATGTGGGAAGGAATTTGTGGTTGCACTTGCAGTCCTGAGTGTTGATGGATCAATAAAAGCCCTTTCCAAGACTGGTGTTAAAGGACAAGAAAAATGCTCCCGTAGAAGAAAATCTTTCCTCCTCAACCCCATTATCCGTTATTTAAACAAAAGGAAGAATCTCCATGTTTCCAGCACTGAAAACATGATGAGATCCTCCCACTTTCTTACCTCACTGTAAATCGCCCTCAAAATAGAGGGGAGGGGAGGAGGGGTAGGGATGGGAGTTCTGTCTCCTTAAAGCTTTGCCAAGCAGAGCCTTCCTTAGTTAGGCTACTTTCAGTAGGAATAGGGAATTTCAAAAAGACTTTACAAAATGGTAAGGATGACCAACATAAATAAATAAATAGTAAGGCAAAGAAAGAAGGAAGAAAGGAAGGAAGGAAAGAAGGAAAGAGGGAGGGAGGGAGGGAAGGAGGGAGGGAAGGAAGGAAGGAAAAAAAGAAAGGGTAAGAGAAAGAAAAGAAAAAAGACTCACAGTGATTTGGCAACCCTGAAGCCAACATTACAAAGGGCACACACTCTGTTGCCCTAACTGGGTCCCAGCAACCCACAGGCCATATCCCATTCCTCCTCCTCTCTCATAAAGGCCCTTTTTCATTCTTGGGCATCTCTTCTTCCTCTTCCTCTTCTTTTCTGGCCCTCGTCCTCATCCTACATCCAGAACCGCGGCATAGTCACACTGACCTTCTTGGAAAACAGTTAACTGTCTTGGAAAACAGTGATAGTCCATCCCTGGGTAAAAATAGAGCCTTTGTACAGGTCCAGTTGCCCCTCATTGCATCACTCATTTACCTCTTAATTTAGTAAGCTTATAATGAACTCCTACTATATGTTGGGCACTGTGGTAGGTATCAGGGATAGAACAATGGTAACTAAGATGTGGTCCCTGCCTTAAAGTTGCCGAAAGTCTAGTTGGGTAGATAGACTTTTAAATAGACTTATAAAACATTGTGGAAGTGTAAAGATAGGAATATATATATGGTGGTGTGGGAACACCAAGGAAGCGGTGCCCTGACCTGGGCGTAGGGGCCACTGAGAGGAGTTTCCTGGAGAGGGAGATATCCGGGCTGAGGCTTAAAGAATTAGTAGACATTAAGCAGAGAAGTGTTATTTGCTTTACAATGTACCTTACAAACTTCGTACATTTTAGGATGAGAAAAATATTACATTCCATACAAACTGACAAAACGAAGGCTCAAGGAAGAAAAACGAGCATATTTTGAATGCTCTGCTAAAATTAAGCTTCTTTTGCTAATTGTTTCCTCCTTGATCAGAAGCGTTAAATGCAAGTACTATATGTGTTTGCTGAGTTTTCCTTCCTGATAATAAATATAACAGTTGTGGTGTTGTGCTGCTTGCAAAATGCTAACACTCTTGAGCCTGGCTTGTCTTAATCAAAATTGGAGTCTTTGTTTTAGGAAGATAACCAGAAGCACTGGTGTTTATGTGACATAATTTTAGTCAACACTGAATACACACTCTTGTATTAGAGGAAGATAATTTTTGTCTGCAATAAAGCCTAGCCCACAATAAATTATGGTACTGTATAACAGAATTTTGCTCTACAATAAAAGGAATAAGAAAAAAATCCAGGTTGTGTATTTGTAAGTGCAGTGCTTTATTGGAAACTCTTATTAAGTATTAACTCCACAGAAATTGATGGACTGTAACTGAGAACAGGTTGTTTATTTTAGGTCCAGACCTTATTTACAGATAAAATTTATTTTGTATATTACCAAAACTAAACTTTAAAACTACAAAATGGAGGAAAAAACATAAAAACTTGTAAAGTCATCGTGTAGAAAAATAAATATTGTCTGGACATAGGATGGAGTGTATAGATTTTTAGGATATTTCTTTTTTATCTAAATTAAAAGATCAGAAGTGTTAGTTAATTCCCTATATTTCCTTCCTCACAGTTCTTGCCTCCTCTATTTATGGTTTCCCATATAGATCATTGATTCCTATCACTGACATCCATGTTCATTCCCTTTAATGCAATTCCCGACGGATGCTGAGAATAACTGGTTTTTGATGTTCTAAAAAGACTCCACATACGAGTCCAGAAAACTGTGGCCTGTGGACTAAATGCAGCCCAGCACCTATTTTTGTATAGGCAGTGAACTAAGAATAGATTTTATAGATAAATATTTGTAACCGATTTGAAAACAAGGAACATTAACTTGTAACCCAAGCAGAGCAAAATGTTATCCCTCCAGAAAAGAATTCCAGTCTTCTCACTGATAAACCAGCATTTTAAAAAAAAATGTACTCAATTATTATATTTTTAATTTCATCAGTAAAAATGTTGTGGAGATTTGTTTTCTCTCATTACATATATGCCTATGTAATCTCTATGTAATATTACTACATAATATGGTGGTGTCTGTTGGTCCACAAAAAACATTTACCAACTTCTGCTGGAAAAGAAGAGTTGTAAGAAGCCCATCTTTTTTTGTTTTCTTTTTTTTAGGCAAAAGACTCTCCATTCCTTCAACTTTTCTCCATAGGATCTATTTTCCAAATCAGCTTCTTTCCCTGACCATTCATCTTTGTACCCTGTCATACCCCTTCTCCATACCATGACTAGCACCTTCTCTAATAGAATAAAAGAATTAATGTCTCTAAAAATTAGGGGACAACAAGTTGGATATTTTATTTTCTAGGAGGAATGGGACAGAAAGGAGAATACAAATAATATTCCTAATACTCCTTTCTAATCAACAGCCTTGTCTTTTTCTTTAGCTTCCAGATTTCCTGGTAACTTTTCACAAAAATAAATACCCTATATACCGTTCATAAGCATGTGTGAAAGGGCAACATCTCAGCCTTTATTTTAAACAAATAACTGGTTTCTACTAGAACATTATTTCCTCAGTAGCATTGACATAGTTAATGATCCAGATACCCTGTAATGTCAGCAGATCTTTTTTCAGAAATTACTTTGAAGTCAATGGAACGCAGCCTTAAGTTCATGAACAACAAAAGGCAACGAGAGAAATAAATCAGAAACCTCTAATCCCTCCTGTTTAATACTGTGAACAAAAGGCAAAAGGCAAAGAATCCTCTCCCCGACACTCAGCTCACATTGCACCATCTTTTAGTTCTTCTGGTTACAGTCTGAATTTTCTTTCCGTCACTCACATCTATTAAAATTTTGTTTAAGAGGAAAAGAGGAGAAAGGGTATATATTTGTATCTGGGCTTTCAGAGTTTCTCAAAATATCTTTCCTCTAGTAAATGTAACATTTTAAAAAGTATCCTTCATCCAGATATAATTTAAAGTTAGAACACATGCTTTTGTCTTTAGTAGCTCTAAGCTTCTTTTAGCATTTCTTGTGAACGAAAAAATGCAGTTATCTGTTTACCTAAATGTTTCTCTATTACTGAGAAATTAACTCAAGTGAGTGCTATATATGTAGTAGGTCCGGAATAAATATTCATCTATGAATGAATGAATATGCACCACTACATTCATTTTCCACCAGCCAAGTGACTAACCTTATGCAGGAGTAACCTTTAGATATTTTAGTAATAAATACTATTCTCCTATTCATTTTTCT